CATCTTCATCTTCATCTTCATCAACGACGCCAGCATCATCGCCATCACCATCCATCACCAGCACCATCCCCATCATTGGGACCCTGCCCCTGAAGTACATAGATGCAGACTATCTGACACAGACGGAGACAGGGACCGACCGACAACCGAACAACGCACCGATGCAGACCCGGCAATCAGACAGACACGCATGCAGGCACGTGGAGACGCAGACTGCGGACAGGCACAAACTTCATCACCGCCCCACACCCCACCACCCTTGCGCACAACCGCACACCCGAACACGCACACACCCACCCTCCCCGCAACCCCCCCCCCCCGCCACACACTCGTTCGTTCTAGGACTAACTAAACGCCGCAGGCTAGAAGAACATGTAAGTTGGCCGGTACAAGTCCAACAAGACAGCCGTCTAGCCCCGCTGCTGGCATGTGAGACGTGTGACTGCGAAACCATCCTACCATCTATGTGTACAAGCAGTATCAAGCTGTGTCCAATGGAAGAACTACGCAGAACAGGAACATTTAGTGCTTTGTGAACACAGCACAACGGCGAGGTCGAAACATCCTTGCGATGTCGATAGCATACAGTTAAGCACCACATGACACCTCAGGCATGTACAATCCCTGCACACCCAGTCGACAGTTCCCTGCCGCTGTGCGTGATCCACAGTTTTCTCAACAAGTCGTGCTGCCTTCACTCTACTTTCAGTAGTCTTCTCGGCTCCTGTCCAGTGAATAGACTATCAGGCTGCCGGTGGAGGTGGCGGTGGCTCGGGAGCTTCGGCAGACGGCTTTGCATCGAACATGGACGGAAAGGCCTGTCACGAAGCGTAGAGTCTGGAGGTTGCAGTCGGACTTTCATGTGATTCCTGCAGGAGATCATCCTTTGGTGTGAGGCCAGCAACGCTGCCCACATCTGGAACACCCAGAGGCTCACGTCTGCATCGCTCTTGCGAGGTCCTTACCATGATCGGCTGGCGGCCGCCACAGGCAGCACTCTTGCAAAGAGCGGGTTTTCACATGCAAGAGAGTGCGATGGGGCAGCGAACCGCCGGCAGGGCACGGAAGATGCCGAGCGCAAGGTGGAAATTCGGTGTCTCGATAAGGATCCTGCTCGACAAGGAGCCTTTGAGTTCACACATACACCATCGGTGTCTCTTTTAAGGAGTTGTTCATATTCCAGTATAGGACCCGTCTCTCCTTGAGCCCTTGGCCAGCTCCGCCGAGCCTAGCTGCCTCTGCAGGACCGTTGCTGGATGCTCCGGCAGAGGCTGAAGCATCGTCGCACAGCATCCCAGGTGCTTCCGTAGCTTCGCCACTAGCAGACTAACATGCGAACGGATCCTTCCCACCGCTTGTGGTGCTGTCTGTCGGAGCAACTTGCTTGTCTACGTCACGCGGGATTGGATCCTTGTCAGCTCGAGTCTGGGCCAGGAAAGGAACTGAGTTCTATCAGGGAAAGCATCTTCTTGCCGCTGCAGTACAAGCCGAACTCAACTTATATTCAGATCGTGCGCCCGATTGGTGCCTTGCAGCGTGGGCGTTCAAGAGAGCTTCCGAGTGTGACCCCTGTCTTGAGGTATTGTACGACTTGGACCCTCAGAAAAAGCCGAGGGCTTTTGCCTCAATATCCCTTGCGCAGGCACATACCTGACCACACTGTTCAGAACTTTTGCACAGCCAGACTTGTTTCCAAAGCCAGTCAATTGTCAATTGATCGTATTGTCGTGGGCTTTCGAGAGTACCTCAGTTTTTCGGTCAGAGTTTTGGTCGGCCATGTTGTTCTTCATGAGCAGGCACTCCGATCGAAAGGCATCTCAGCTGAAGCAATTCTTGCGCAGACATGCATCTTGTCAGGGTTCTTGCTTTTTTTCGGCTGGGGTCCAAAGATGGGTGGGTTCAGGTTCCTTTGGTGCCTAGCATGAGGACAGCGCAGATTGAAGTTACAGCCCGTCGACAAGCAAGCTGCATCTGGCTCCTGGTCGAAGGAGGTGGGGTGAGAATTGCAAGAGTAGAACAGCTGTATTGTGCGCCCTCTGCGAGGCCGTGATGGGATGCCTGCCATGGCGACGGTCACCCCAAATCATGATGATATTCAGGAGTGGTCTGGGGATGTTGAGAGCTGCCGGCGTAGCCATGGACCTGCCTTATGTGTTTGTGTGAACAGTGGCCTTTTTCATAGCCTGCTGCCGCCTCGTGACGAGACACTCTTTTCAGAGCAGGACTGCCCTGAGATCAGGCAACATTGACAGAGCAGAATTTCGCAGCATACACAAGCCAAACTTCACCCATGCAAGGAGTCAATAACACGGATTGAAGACTAACCACTTGTAGATAACGATGCAGGCTGCTCTACAGGATCCCGTCAAACAGCTCCCGCGGAGCTTGCTCCTAGCAAGAAGCAATCGGAGACAGTAATTGGATTCTTTCTTACAATCCCTGGTGCAGCGCGACCTTTTTGCAGCCCTTTGTGTCTGACTCGGTCCTCCGTTAATTTGTCTTGCTGCATTCCAGGCAACCTTTGTTTTGTTTCCTTGTGCGTGATCTTTATCAGTCTTTATGTAGGTGCTTGTGTAACTTTTTAAAGGGTCTGCGACGAGCCTGTGTGTGTGTGTTTGTGTGTGTGTGTGTCAACCTCTGATAGCAAAGAGTACCTTTTCAACATGCAGGTGGGACTGGGCACTCTGCGACTGACCAGTCTAACAAAGCTAGGTTACAGAGTGGGATACTGCACTTGGCCAGTGTAGCATACCTGCAACTTGTCAGTTTGAAGCTGCATGCCGAGGAGCTGAGCCAAGAACCCCAATATAGGATGTAACCACTGGAGTGGATGCAGTGTACCTGCCGCTTGTGACGTAGTGACGTGCTGTATGCACGGTTGCCACAATTTGAAGCCGACTTCCAGTCTGTCTGTGTGTTGTCTTGTCGGTCGTCCATCGCAGTCATCCGCGCCGAGCTGAAGTGTGTGTTGTGCACGGCGCGGCCCACGTGAAGGAATCTGGATCCCAGAAAAGCTGGGGAAATCAGAGATGCCGTGGTGAACCCAGTTACTGAGTCGCAGTCAGTGTTCATGAAGCGCTCGCATGCCAAGGTCAAACAGCAGCTGGACTTCACGAAGCAAGACCTAGACAAAAGGGAGCGCGAACTGGCGCAACCGTCACATTCAGCCTTCCTTCTCGCCACGGTTCAGTTGCGCAGATGTTTCCGTGTCTGCTACGTGCCAGGAAGAACTGAAAGCTGTGAGAGCTACCCTAAACGCGGAGAATGGCGACGGGACCAGTTGATCCGGATTGTTGCCCGAGTGCAGCTGTAAATATCTTGCCTGCCATGCGAAGTAAACATACACCCTTTTGCCCTTGGGCTTCAAACCACCTTGACACCAGTGTCAGGTCCCGTGCCATGACCCAGTTCTCCCGGATAGAGGCAGACTTCTTAATGGGCAGATGCAGACAACCACTGCTTCAGTGAAGCAGGGTGCAGCATGCATCCGGTCCATGGGTTCTGTCAGCGTAATCTGTAGAGATTGTTGTGGCTTCGTCCCCTGGGCCTGTGTAGCGCAAGCACAGCGAACAACTTACAAATGGGCACTTGACAACAAGTCTGCAAAGATGAGGGTTGACGTAGTGTCAATGACAAGAAGTTTCTGCGACAAGTGCCCACTATGCGTTTGAAATGACCCTGAGCATTGCGCGGCATCCAGCGGAATAAAGGGAGCTCACCACAGACAAGTAGTTAGTAGTAGTCGTCGTCGTAGTAGTAGTAGTAGCAGCAGTAGCAGTAGCAGTGGCAGTAGCAGTAGCAGTAGTCGTAGCAGTAGCGACATCAGCAGCAGCAGCAGCGGCAGCAGCAGGAGTAGGAGT